GCAGGGGCTGCGGGCACTGGGGTTGAGGGGCGGCGTGGGGGCAGGGGATGTGGGCTCTGGGGCTGGGGTGTGGGGTGGGGGCAGGGGCTGCGGGCACTGGGGCTGGGGGGCAGGGTGGGGGGGCTGCATGGGGGGCAGGGTGAGGGCAGGGCGGGGGGCAGGGTGGGGGCAGGGGCTGCGGCGCTCGGGCTGCACAGGCTGGGTGCTCCATGCTTCTTTTCCCCTCTTGTCTAGGATCCGCCAGCCGCCGGTGCCTGCTGAACGCCCACGGGGTGGCGTACTGGGGCGTGCCCAGCTTTGCCCGGTGCATCTCGCACGAGTACAGATACTTACATCTCTCAGTAGGTGCACACGCTGGCGGGCCCCCACGCTCCCCCCCCCGCCCCCGGTGCCACCTTCGCTGCCTTTCACCCCGACGCCTTGGCAGTGCCGGTGGCTGCGTTGCTTGGAGATTCCCTCGCACAGGGGGAGAGCCCAGCCAGCCCCCTGCCAGCTCTGTGCCCAGTGCCGGCCCCGGCCCCTCTGCTGAGCACCCCCACGTTGCCCCGTGTGCCCTGTGCAGGCAGCCACCTGGGTGCAGGGGTCATTTCCTGGGGGGACTCTGGTTTCTTGGCCAGCTGGGGGATCCCAGGGCTTGCCGTGGAACTCGTCCCGCAGGGGGCTTGGGGGCCTGGGCCGTGGTTTGAAGTGGCCGGGGGGGGCGGGGAGGGGGGCTTTGATCTGGCGTTCTCCAGAGGTGGGGATTGCTACAGTCGCTGCTGCAGGAGATGGTGACTCATTCCTCCTCCCCGGGGCCAGCCCCGTCCCCTCTGCTGATCCCCCCCGGGCCACGGGGCTCCCACTGGGCCGATAGGTCCCTGTGCCTGGCCGCTGATGCTCCGTCTGATCTGTCCTTCCTCCCTTGGCTTCCAGTTCTCCCAGCCCTTCAGCCCCTCTCCGCTCTTGGGAGCCCCGCCCCCCAGCTGACTCCACCCCGGTGACCCCCACTTACTCATTAACCCTTTGTGACCCTTCCCTCCTCATCCCTGTTGTCTGCCCCCCTCTTCCCCCACCCCACAAGCTGCCCGAGAAGCGATTGCGGCTCAAGGCAGCGGGGACTGACCCGCGACTCCAGTTCTGCCGCGATCCCTCTGGTTGGGCAGGACGCCGGGCCCCCCAGGCACACCTCGCAGGCATGCCCGTCCTGGCGGGCTCTGATCTCCTGGCCTTGCATGGCTCCTCCCCACCGTATGCCTCGTTAAAGGGAGAGAGGGGAGCCCCTGCAAAGCCAGCCTGCCCCCCATCCGATCCCGCCCCCTCCCCTTTCCCAGAGAAGGTGTGCTCCGAAGCCGGGTGGCCCTCGGGATGGGCAGACAAAAGCACCCCCAGTACAGAGCAGCCAAGCAGCCCCTGGCTCCCCCCAGCTGCCAGTGAAAATGCTGCTTTGCATGAATATTTCATTGCAATGGAACCTAATTAACATCCTTGTCCCCGGCTCCTTCCCCCGCCCGCCCCGGGTTCGGGGAGGGGGCTGATGCTAATTATCCCTCTGTGTTGCCATCTTCCCCGTTCTCGCTGTCTGTCCCGTTCCCTGGCAAGGCCAAGCACTCTGCTGAGGTAGATCAAGGAGCTACCTTGACTAGCGATATCCCCATTTGACGTATGGGGAAACCGAGGCACGGGGTAGGGGAGTGACTCACCTGGAACAGTGACTCAGTGGCGAAGCTGGACTAGAACCCAGCGTTCCTGATTTCCTTGACCCCTACTCTTATCCACCAGCCCCACATCCTCCTTTGGGGGCCCGCGGGGGCACAGGGGCTGCGGTGTGGGGCCAGGAGGGGAGTTGGCGTGGGTATGGCACCTTCCTGCCTGGGGGAAGAGGAGCGAGGCCCTGGGCCCTGCAGTGGTGGCTCCTGGGATGGTGTGGGACACGGGGAACTTCCCCGGGAGGGGCCGTGTGTGCTGGGGGTGGGACATGGGTAACCACCCTGGTGGCTCCTGTGGATGTCCGTGCTGTTCCCAGACAGGACTCCTGTCCGGCTGCTGCCTCAGGGTGGGTTGGGAGAGGGACCTGGGGAACCCCCTGCTGCTGGGTAATCTCTCCCCTCCCCCCCCCATCTCTGTCCCTCTGCGCGGAAAGCTGCGGGAGCACCTGGCCAAGGGGCAGCGCATGCTGGCGGGCGAGGGCATGTCGCAGGTGGTGCGGAGCCTGCTGGAGCTGATGGCCCGCAGGACGTACTACAGTGGGGACCTGCTCTTCTCGGTGGAGATCCTGCGCAACGTCACCGACACCTTCAAGAGGGCCACCTACGTCCCCTCCTCCGACGACGTGCAGGTACCACCCGGCCGGCCCCTGCGACGAGCCGGGGCCCGGCCCAGGCCCCGTGAAAGGCCAGCGTGGCTGCCTTTCCCTGCCCTCTCTCTGGCATTGTTATGGGGGCCTCACCCCTTTTGTGTCTGGCTCTGTGGTTTCACCTGCCATCTCTGGACCCATGTGCATGGGGGTCCCCCCGTCCCCAGGCCGGCGCTGCCGGGCTAACAAGCAGCAGCCGAAGCTGGCCTGGATCTGAGCTGGTGGGCTGGGGGAGCTGGTGGAGATGCTCGGCTTCCACCGGCAGCGGGGGGGCGGAGTTGGTGACGCTCAGTTGGGAGCAACCAAGGTGGTCGCAGCAGGGCCAGGAAGAATCCCAGATGGAGCTGGAGCTGGGGTGGGGGTTTTGGGGGTCCTGTCTGGGTGTGTGTGTGACAGGGCTGCCTGGGGGTGCAGGTGCAGGTACTCTCAGGGCAGTGGAATTTCGAGGCTCCCAGACATGGCCGGGGGAAGCCCCCTGTCCCATAGGCGCCAACTTTCTCCGGCGCCGCTGGGTGCCCGCGCCCCCCGCCCCTGGCCCCGCCCCGATTCCACCCCATCCCTGCCCCCATTCCAAACCCATCCCCAAAGTCCCCACCCTAACTCCTCCCCCTCCCTGCCCCTATTGGATCCCTTCCCCAAATCCCCGCCCCAGCCCCGCCTCTTCCCCAGCACTCCGCGTTCCTCCCCCTCCCTCCTTGCCCCACGAATCAGCTGTTTCGCGGCACAAGCGCTGGGAGGGAGGAGAAGCAGGACACAGCGGCGCGCTCGCGGAGGAGGCGGAGGTGAGCTGGAGCAGGGGGGCGGGGCAGGGCCACAGGGAGGTGCCGGTGGATGCAGAGCACCCACCAATTTTTTTCCATGGGTGCTCCAGCCCCAGAGCACCCACGGAGTCGGCGCCTATGCCCTGTCCCATGCCCCCGTGCGTCACAGAGCCACCCCCTCACGCCTCCTCTCCTCTCCTCCACTCCCTGCAGCGCTTCTTCCAGGTGGTCAGCTACATGGTGGACTTGGAGAACAGAGACAAGTGGGAGGACGCCCAGCAGGTGAGCCGGCCGCTCAGGGATGGGCGCCAGCCGGCCAGGGAGGCAGGTGCTCAGCCGGCGCAGCACGACTGTGGCTGTGACAGGCTCTCGACGGAGCAGGGGGCGGCATGGTGCCAGGGCTGCCAGCCCAGCTTGTGGGGCTGCCCTTCCAGTGCCCTGCCTAGGGTGGAGGGGCAAGGAGGCGCCCCAATCAGCAGGTGGCCCTTTGGCTTCAGCCCCATCTAGAAGGCAACTGGTCTGGGAGCTTTTCTGTGGCCTTGTCTGCTGCTGTGAGAGGTATCGGGCTGGGGGCCGCCTGTGGGGAGGGGTCTCTGGATGAAAGGGTTGGGGCCGGTGCCTGGGCAGGGAACCCCCTCCCCACAACACCTGCCCCTTCCCCTAAGGCTAAGCATGGCCTGGATCAGCGCTAGCTCCTGTCCCCCCCCCCCACGCTCTGGGAAGTTTGGGGTGTCCCCCGCGGATGATTTGGGGGGACCCTTTGGAACCGTCCAGGTCCTTCCTGCCCCATTCCCCATCAGTGGGGGCATGTGGCAAGGAGCTACCCTCCCCCGCGCCATACCTGGGCCCCTGTTTTAGCCCCCTTCCCCTCCTCTCTCCCCGCCGTACCTGGGCCCCTGTGGTAGCCTCTCCCCCTCTCTGTGCCCACAGGTGTCCCCTGGCTCCGTGCACCTCATGAAGGTGGTAGAAGATTTCATCCACTTGGTGGGGGACGCGCTGAAGGCCTTCCAGAGCTCCCTCGTGGTTACCGACAACCTGGGTGAGTGGCCGGGCTGGGGCTGCCCGCGGAGGCGGCAGGGCCTGGAGCTGCTTTATTCTGAGAGGGGCGTGAGGGGTCCCAGGCCAGTGCAGCAGCAGAGAGGCTGGGAGCCCTGGGGAGTGGAGGTGGCAGGAGGCACGTGGCCCCTGCAAGGCTGCGCCAGGTGGGCTCCCAGGAGGCCCGTGGGCAGAGGCGCCGGGGTAGCCTGAGCTTGGCCAATGTGCCCAGGCAGGCGTGAGCTGGAAGTGACCCTTTCTCCCTGTCGCTTCCCTGGCAGTGATCAGCATCCAGAGAGAGCCCGTCTCGGCCGTCTCCAGTGACATCAACTTCCCCATGAAGGGGCGCCGGGGCATGAAGGACTGGGCTCGCCACTCGGAGGATAAGCTCTTCATCCCCAAGTCGGTGTTGAGCCTCTCCTCCTCTGGTAAGGCAGGGCCGGGGCCCCCGGGAGGAGAGCAGCAGGGGTGGCTGTGTGTGCTTGTCTGTGTGTTTGTTCCCATGTGATTACGTGTGTGTGTGTGTGTGTCGGTTTGTGTATGCACACGGGCGAGGTGTGTGTTTGCATGCAGGTGTGCAAATGCACACGTGTGTCTGCATCCCCGTCTGTGTGTGCATGATGCAGGTGTCCTTGTTCATGTGTGTGCGGCTATGTTTGTGAAGGCACATTTGCAAAGTTCGCATGGGAGCAAATGCACATGTGCCTTGTGTGCATGGTCACATGTGATTGCGTGTGTGTGCGTGTATATTTGTGTGTGCCCGTTTGCATGCCAGCTGGTTTGGCTGCTGTGACGGTTGTTTGGACGCGGATCCAAACAAGCGGCTGCAGTTGATTTGCCGTTCTCTCCATGGCTGCTCTGTAAAGAGGTGCAAACGGTGGTTCCCAGCCCAGCGAATGGAGCCTGCGAAGGTTTTAATCTTTCAATTACCTGTTAATGCTGATTAAAAATCTGCGTGGCACCGGCTGGGGGGTGAACGCAGGCTGCCCTCGAGCTGGGCTTTGGGGCCGTCCTGTGACATGGACCTGGGTCACCTGTGGCCCTCTCTCTCTTTCCATGGGGGACACGCCCTGGGCTGGACTTGGGTGTCAGACTCTGCTGGCTGTGCTGTGAGATGGGCCACTGGAAGAGAGGCAGGCTGGGTAGCCAAGTGCACCCTGGGACATAGACATGGCTGGACTGGCATGTGCTGGGGACGGCTGCTATTCCCCCTGCATGGTGGTGCTTTAGCAGGGCTCCCAAAGCCCTTCCCCTTCCCAGCTGCGGGTCGGCACTGTTAACCCCCTTTTACAGGTGGGGAAACAGAGGCGCGGAGCCATTCAGCAATGTACCCCAGCGAGTCACAGCAGGGAGGGAATAGAACCCAGGAGTCCTAGCTTCCACTCCCCCACTGTAACCTCTTCCTCTGGATGGAGCCACCCCCATCGCCCGGAGGGCAGGGGAAGGGGCCTGTCTGCATTGCCAGGCTACGGGGAAGGGTGCGCATTGGAAGAGGGGGGCGCGTAACGACTTGCAGCCCTTTCCAGGAGGGCCACGTGTGTCCCCGTCCCCAGGCTGGGGTGTGAGCGGAGCCGGGCCCCAGGGACGGATGCCGGCCCCTGTTCACCGTTGCTCTGTCCCCTTCCCCCCTCTCTGCAGAAATGGACGAGTCGTCGTACTTTGTGATCGGGGCCATCCTGTACCGCACTCTGGGGCTCATCTTACCTCCTCCCAGGTGGGTGGCCGGCCGGGGCGTGGGGGCAGGAACCAGGGCTTCCGAATGGGGCAGGGGATGGTGGGGCCCTGAGTCGCTCTTCACATTGAAATGCAGCCATGGGTGCGAGGGGGGTAGGACAAGGCTGGGCCCTGCATGGGGGCGATCCACAGCCGTGTGCCCTGATCTGTGACCCTGCTGGAGTTATTGCTGCATGTCCTGAGCGTGAGTGGGGAGAGGGGAAGAACTGAGCACTGGGCAGATCTGGTTCCTGGATTCAGGATCAAGTGCGGGTAAGGGAGAGGGTGGACCCTATTGGGGCTGGGGGACCAGGCTGGGGGAGGGTACAAGACCGCACAGATGGCGCCATATGTGGGCAGAGGTTTGGATCCTGGAGGAATGGGGGGAGGGCGCTGGAGGTGCGAGGGGGCAGCAGATGAGAGCAGGCACCTTTCTGGGTTTCTGTAGCTTAGCATCCCCAGGGGCAGCGCCTCCCCGCAGCCCATGTCTTAGCCTGCTGCTGTACAAGCATAGGCAGGAGAACGGGGTGAGATGCACAGTGGGGAGCCAGTGCCACTCAAAGAAGGGTTCCTCCAGCCTGCATCTGCTGTCAGCAGCTGAAAACAGGAAGGAGAAAGAGAGAAGCAGCGGGTTTGTGTGGGAAGGGGAAAGTTCAGGTCTGAAATGTGGGACAGCCGAGAGGGCTGTGTACACTCATGGGCACATGCGTGTGTGTATATACACCCCCCCCATACACACACACTTCACCCATGCACAAACAAAACTGCACCTGTGCACACTCTCCACCCCCGACATACGGGGGGGGGGGGTGTATCCACACACACACACACGTGCACGGTCAAGGAGTCGGACGTTCATACACAATGCCCAGGCTCAGGCAAAACCATCCCCAGTTGTGGATATGCAGCGACATGGGGAGAGGATCGGAAAACATGCTTTACAGGGCTAGACTCCTGGCGCTTGACCTGTTTAGCCTAACCCAGAGAATGGGAAAGGGGGACTCAGTCGCCGTCTGGAGGTACCTCCGCGGGGAGCAGAAATTCGATAGTGGGCCCTTCTGTCTAGCAGACAAAGATCGAACAAGGTCCAATGGCTGGAAGCTGAAGCGAGACAAATTCCGACTGGAAAGCAGTGAGGGTAATTAACAACTTACCCAGGCTGGTGGTGGATTCTCCGTCCTTGGCAATTTTTAAATCGAGCTGGGAAGTTTTTCTTAAACGTGCGTTTTAGATCGAACAGGAATTAAATTCAGGGAAGTTCCAGGGCCGGAGCTATGCCCGAGGTCAGGCCCCTTCACTGCTTATCATTTATACATACCGTGTGTAAGGAGATGCACACGCAGCTCATACAACGTGGTGCATGAACAAAGACAGTCCTGCAACGCTGTGTGCGCACACACGCTCTCACACACACACACACACACACGCAATACGCATGTGACCAACAGCAGGATGGACCAGCTCCCAGAGAGCCCTGTCCTGACGCCTGTAACGTCCTGCGCTGTGTCCTGGCTCCAGCGTGTTCCCTCGTCTCCACAGGAGCCCCTTGGCCGTCACGTCCCGAGTGCTCACCGTGACCGTGCGCCCGCCGACCAAGCCCACGGAGCCCCTGATCTCAGTGGAGCTGTCCCACATGCTCAATGTAAGTGCTGTGCATTCCGAGGGGGGGCTCAGACGTCCGCCGGGCCCCATCATGAGGGCAGAGAAATGTTCACCCGTCGCCCACCCCTGCATGCCCTGCTATTGCGGGCCCCTGCTCCACCCACAGCCTTCCTGCAGTCCCAGTCCTGTGTGCCCGCCCTTCCTCTCAGCCGGGCAAGTGCCCTGCCATCCAAACCCCTACCCCTGCTATTCCAGTCCTCGGTGCCCTCAGTCCCCACCCACAGAGCCTGGCTTGACCTTGGGCGAGTGAGGCGCAGCCCAGAGCTGCTGCCGCTTCCCCTGGCTGGGGGCTGCGGGGGAAGTTTCCCTGGCCACGTGTTACCAGTCTGCCTGGCTTCAATGCTGCTGAGACACCAGACGCCGCGGCCCCTGCTGGTGCCCTCCCTCGTGCCACTTTCTAGGGGCCCGTGCTGTGGCGGGCAGGTAGTCATGAGGCTAACGGGGGCAGCAGCAGGCCGTGCTCAGATCGAAGAGTGTCTCCCGCCCGCCATGGCCGGAGCCAGAGAGAGGCGGGTGAGAGCGGGGGCGGGGAGAGAAGGAGCGTCCCCGTCCCTGCCCCGCCCAGGTCTCCGCTAACCCAGCTCTGTCTGTCTGCAGGGCACCTCGCACCCGCAGTGCGTCACCTGGGACTACTCCAAAGCGTGAGTGCAGCTCTGGGCCCGGCGTGTCTCTCGGGGGGCTCTCTGGATGGTGGCGGGGCCTCAAAGAGGGGGGCTGGCTCTGTGCCATAGAGGAGAGCCTGCCGCTCGCTGGAGCCAGAGCTGGGGCCTATGGAACAGGTGCACTGGGCCCCGTGTGCTGCCCTCCCCATCCCCGGCCTTCCCCACGGCAGCACCCTCTGCCTGGAGACTGGAGCCTGCCCACCCTCGCAGAGCGGCACCCGTCTGCTCACCCAGCAGCGGCACAGGCTGTTCCTTCCTCTCCAGCCGCTGCAGCTGGGCTGTATGCCAGCCTGCCCTGGGCTCTGTCAGGGTGACCCCTGTGGTTTGTTAGCCCCTTGCTGCCCATGGCGCAGCCCCTCTGCTCTCCAGCCTCTGGCAGGCACTTGCACCCGGACCTGGGCCTGGTCCCCCTGCAGGGTCTGGAGTTGGCACCCACCTGCCTTTCCTGGGTAGCTGAGGGCTCTGTGCTGGAGGCCGGGCTCTCTGCAGGGCGTTCACTACACGCTGTCCTCCCGCCGCAGAGCGTGGGAAATGGACGCACCTCCGGGGTGGTGAGAGCCAGCCGCCTCCCGTCCCTGCAGTGTCAGCCGGGCCGTGGAACGGCGGGTGACATGGAGAGGGCAGGTGCCCAGCCTCCCTGCTGCTGCAAACCTTCCCCGATCCCCCTGCGCCACAGGCTGCCCAGGCCTCCAGCCGCCCCACGGGCACTGCCCACCCACCCATTTTGGCTGCAGAGCCCCATGCAGAGAGGCAGGTTGACTGGGCAGGACCAGGGACTGGGTGAGGGGGGTTGTGGGTGAGGCAGGCGAGCCTGTGGCTTCTTGGCAAGGAGAGAGGAGGATGAGAAGGGGACCCCCACACCCGCACACTTGGAGGGTTAATGGGGTGTAGATCCCTCCGCTGCTCTGATGCCTTCCCCGCTCTGATGCCTTCCCCGCCCCAGCCTCATTGGCGTTCGGGGAGGGGACTGGCCATTGGCTGGAGGGAGCCAGCAAGCCAGATGGGGGGCCCTGTGTGGTGCTGTCCACTCCCCCGAGCTGAAAGCTCCCGTTATCCCAGGCAGAGCCCCGAGCAAAGCTCCCCATCTCGTTATCCTTGGCGCACAGGTTATTATACAGCAAGGAGAGATCTAATGGGCTCCTCTCCCCGCCCCGACCGGGCGGTCACGTCCGCATTTAAAGAGCGAGGAGACCAGAACGAGGCCAAGCCCCCTATGGCCGTGGGTTAATTTTGCTAATACCGGTATTGATTAGCGCCCGCTTGAAGCCGGAGATTGATGCCTGCAGCTTGCCAGATGCAGTTTGTTAACGACGGGCTGGAGCAGAGAGCCAGGGCCATGCAGCGCTCGGGCGGGAGAGCGATAAAGTGGGGCAGATTGCTGTGGCGTTGGGGAGGGGGAGCCAGTGGCCTCCAGTGGTCCTGGCTGTGCGCTCTGACAGCAGTGCTGCCTGGGCTGGGGGCCAGTGGGGCCGTGCCAAGGGGGGGTGCTCCTGGCCTTAGCACCTCGTTATTGTCTGCCCCTTTCTGTCCCTGCAGGGGCGGTTGTGGGGGGAGTTTGGCGGCCTGCGTGGCAGGGGGTCGGGCGGGACGATCCTGGGGGTCCCTTTGGCCTTGCAAACTCTGGATCTAGCCAAGCGCAGCCTCGCGGCCCTGCAGCCTCCCTTCGGGTTGCCAGAGCAACCGCGCTGTAACTCTGTCAGCCTTGGCACGTCGCAGCAGCCACGGCTCGCGCTCCCCCACCTCCCGCGATGTACAGTCCCACGCCAGCCGCCTCCCGTGGACAGGCGGTGACGCTCCGACCTCCAATCCGGAAAGGGACCCCCCCTCTCCCCGAGGCCACTGCCGGGGCCCTGAGGGCATGCAGTGGCTCGGGGATGGGTGACAGAGCCTTCCCCGCTCTGGGTTACTGGTTCCTGTGCAGCCCTGCTGGGGAGGGACTCGAGATGGGCCAGAGGCTGGACTTGACCAAAATCGGGGGCTGGGCTTTCAGTTCCGGCCTCCCCGGCTCGGAGTTGACGCACGCTGTGCTGCCAACATGGCGGGGCACAGCCAGTTCTCGGGGACGCAGGCCTGGGGCCTGATCCATTGACACCCGGGGTAAGCAGCTCCTGCCCCTTGGTGTTGGGAGCTGCAGGCAGAACCGCTGCCATCGCAAGGAGCGGGTATCGCTGGCATCTCTGAAGTGATGGGCTAATGAGCACCCAGGAAGGGCTCTCCAATGCCCGGAGTGGGTAGTTGCCAATCCCTTGATGTGGCAGGAGGGCTGGGCAGTCAGTGGGGTGAGAGCCTTGATACCAGCTCAGAAAGGGCACCAAGGCCCAGAACCTGCCCTAGCTGCAGGGAGATCCCACAGCTCCGGCTGCCTGCAGGCCTGTCCGGAAGCAGTAATGAGGGGTCCATTGCTGCAGGCTTCCAGGCGGGGATGCCTGGCTGGAGGAGGGTAAAATCTTCCCCAACCATTGCCATGGTAGCGCATGGCGCCCGGGTGACACTTAAACCAGCACCCCTGGGTAGCTCTGTGCCTTTGTTTTACCCCAGCTGCATTCAGCTGCCCCAGCCCCGAACCGCAGTGAACCCCCCGTTACCATGTGGCAGTGCTTTGCTGCGGCATGAGTGACTCTGCAAGGTGAGGGGCAGTGGGGCCCAGTGCCCGTCCATGGTGTCTGCTGTCACAGAGCCCGGTCCCCAGAGGGGCTGGGCACCCCCATGCCAGTAGAAGCGAATGGGCACTGCGGGAACCTGGCACCTCTGCAAATGCCAGCCGTGGGCTCTGGGACTGGGTGAGCCTGGGGGCTCCAGCCCTGGGCATGGTGGGGCGTGTCACTGCTGGCTTTGCATGCCCAGATGCAGGGCTTCGCACACCCACCTGACACATGGGCCCGCGGGCCCTTGGTGTCCTGTGTTTCAAAGCTGATGCTATTGCACATTTCTGCCTGGGCACCAAGGCACGTCCCTGTGCGGTGGCCCCTCCAGGCAGAGTAGTGCTTGCAGGAAGGTGGGTACGTTCAAAATGTATCTGCCAGAAACAGTCCCACCCTCCATAGCGCCAGCGCTCCTGAGCCCGCGACTGGCCCCGGCAGCACACGCAGGGCAGGAACGTGGGTAGGGCGGGCAGGCTTCTCGGCCCAGAGAGCTGGGAAAGGGCCTGGTACAGCTGGCTCCATTCCCTCCCATTTCCTTTCCAAACAGCAGAGCAAGGTCGGGGGGGGGGGCGAGAGGGGGGTGAAGAGGCATCTCCCAGCTGGCTGACTCAGCACAGGGCCCCCCACCCGCTGCAGTTCCGCAGGAGGGCAGTGCCAGCTGTGCCATCGGCTAAAGTAACCGGAATGGGCGAGCGTTGCTCAGGCCGCAGTTGGGTTTTCCAGGGGTGAACTCCGGGCTGATCTGGGGTGGAGGGGTGTCCCCAGTTGGGTGGGAGTGGCAGCTTCGCACACCTTTGTGTGGCCTGGCACGCAGTCAGCCACGTGTCTGTGAGCCCGCGCGTGCCCCGGATCACACGCGTGCCCAGCCTCGCAGGTGTGCTGTTCCGTGTGCAGTTGCTGTAATGCCTTGTTGCATGGGTGCTCCCCGTCCTGGGCTGTATCACTTACCTGGATCCTGGCTTGGCTCATTTAATTCCCCTCAGTTCTCATTAGCTTTCAATACAGGTGGGTTGAACAAACAAGAGGCCAAAGCCAGGTGGGGTGTGGGAGAGCTCCATCCACCCTTCCTGGGGCCGGGCTCCCCTCCCTTCCTCGCTGGAGTTTAACCCCCGACCCCAGCCAGCAACCTGAGCCTTCAGATTAAATCAGGCCTGTGTGCAGTGTTCAGCCCCCCCAGGGATCAGTGTCTGGGGGGGGCGGGGAAGAGCAGGGGGGTGTGGGGGATGGAGCTGAGCTGGCTTTCGTCAGCGCAGCCCGGGGCAAGGAGGGGGGAAGGGCAGGGTTCTGCCCCAGCATCTGGGTCACGCGCTAAAGCAGCCGCCCAGACCCTGCCCCAGCGCCGCTCAGACCCCTCCTCCCCCCCGTAGGGCCCAATGCGGCCGTCGGGTGGGCAGCGCCAGCGAAGGGTTAAGTCGGCTCGGAAGCCGAGGGGCTCTGTGTGTTTGATCATTTTAAATCACTCTCTCTCCTGCTCTCCCGTTCCATTAATCAGGGATGCGGGCTCTGGAAACTGGGACACCGAGAGCTGCCAAACGCTGGAGACCCTCCCGGCTCACACCAAATGCCTGTGTAGCCACCTCTCCACCTACGCCGTCCTCGCCCAGCTGCCCAAGGACCTGGTAGGTGGCACCAGCCCAGCGCCCTCCAGTTTCCCTTCTTGTCTTCGGCTGTTGCTGGGCCCGAGCCGAGCGGGAACCGGCAGCAGGAGCAGGGTGGGATTGCGGGGCGGGGAACGCCAGCTGGAGGGGGTCTGATCGTAGAGGGTGGTCCCGAAGCGTCGCGGGAACAAGGCCACAAGGTGGGACCCATTGCTGATCTCTGGGGTTCTGTAACAATAATCCCTGCCTGCTTGGAGAGCGCGGCTGGGACGTGCACAAACTCCACCAGCCATCTCCACCCCAGTGGGAGGATGGTGGTGGCTTTTTGATGCTGGGGGGCGGTGCTGTCTGCCAGGGCCTGGGGGAGGCTCTGGGGACAGCTGATGCTCTGGCTGGAGATGGGATGAGATGGGGGGTCCCCCGTTCCTCGTGACAGGTTGGAATCGTTCATGAGGGAAGAGCTTGGGAAGGGGACAGCTGCTGCTTGTGCTGGGCTCCCGAGATGCCCCCCCAGTGCCATCCCTCTGCCTCTCCTCCACTGACGCTTTCCCGTTCTCCTCTCCTCTCCCCCTGCTGCTCTCACATTCCCTCGTTCCCTGGCTCTGGCTCTCTCCCTGCGCCCTCCTGGCTGGGCTCGGTGCTCCTCCCAGGCCCCCGCCTGTCCCCAGCCCACGCCACTTTATCCCGTGCTGAGAGCGATGGGCCCAAGCTGTGTGGCACCCAGAAACCCACTGGGGGGGTGTGGCACCCACAAAGTGCACCTGCTGCTGCTCAGCCTCCCCCCAGGGTTATGGGTACAGGGGTTGCAGTGGGGGAGAGGTGCATTCTGGCCCTGTCTTCTCCTAGGGTAATGGGCAAATGATAGCAGGGGCAGGGCATTTTGGCCCGGTCCTCCCCTGGGTTATGGGTACGGGGGGAGGGAGGGCATTTTGGCCTTGAACTCCCCTGGGGTTATGGGTATGGGGGGGTGGGGCAGGGCATTGTGTCCCTCTGCTCCCCGGGGTTATGGGTACAGAGTCCTGCTTGGCTCGTGCAGCTCGCCCTAGGGCCAGGTGCTGTCTCTCAAGCCGAGGCCCCGAACGTTGGACTCTCTCCTTTGCCGGCTGAGCGTGAGCCCTGGCACAGAGGGCGAGCCCAGGGGCGGGGCAGGACACTGGGGCACTGGAATTCAAGCCAAGGGGCATTGCCCTGTCACGGTGGTGAGGGCCGTAGCGAGATGGGGGCCAGCTATGGTGAAGGGGTCCCATGTCCGGCTGCCTGGAGATTTCCCATCATGCAAAGCCCGGCTCCCTCCCCCCATGAATAGACCCTCTTGCACGGGGGCGGCTGTGCAGTGAGTGGGGAAGTGCCCCACTCTTCCCTCCCC